CTGATGATAAATAACCCCCCAGTTACCCGTTCACCCTCAGGGTATTACAGGCTTTTGCACAGGAGCCCATCGCAGCAGTGCCTTGACTCCCAAAGCCCTTCTGGGCTGTGGTCCATCATGTTGGGGCTGGTACCCCCCACCCTTCACCAGCAGTTACCGTGCAGGGCGTGTTTTGGCCCTACAGACTTAGGTGGCCCCTTTGCAGTCTGTTAGGCATCACCCATGGCTTTCTGTACTCACCCTTTGGGGATGCCATTTACAAGCCTCTACAGAGTTCTTGCTGGCTTGGGGACTAATTTAACAAGCAGGTGGCTGGCAGAGGGATAGAAAAGGTATTTTTTGGAGCTGCAAGACAGTGTGGTGATATCTGGGCCCAGCAGGTAACCAAAATTCATGAGAGGGGGCACTGTGCAATGAGGAAATGCAAGATGAGGACCAGGCGGCGTGCTCTCCCCTCGCTACAGGAAAGATGTCATGTTGCTGGAATGTGTCCAGAGAAGGGCAAGGAAGGTGGGGAGGGGTCTGGAGCCGAAGGCTGCTGGGGAGCGGCTGGGGGCTCTGGGGGTGTTGAGCCTGGAGAAGAGGAGGCTGAGGGGAGACCTTATTGCTCCCTACAACTGCCTGACAGAAGGGGGGAGCCAGAGACGTGGTTGGGCTCTGCTCCCAGGGAACGGGTGATGGGATGAGGGGAAATGGCCTCAAGTTGAGCCAGGGCAGGATTAGGTTGGACATTGGGAAAAATTCCTTCCCCACAATGGCTGTCAGGCACTGGAAGGGGCTGCCCAGGGAAGGGGTTGAGTCCCCATCCCTGGGGGTATTTAAAAGCCAGGCAGATGAGGTGCTTAGGGCCAGGGTTTAGTGGTGGGATGGCAGGGTTAGGGTAACGGTTGGGCTTGATGATCTTAAAGGGCTTTTCCAACCTCAACGATTCTATGATTCTTCTATGATTCGCTCTTCTCCCTGCTTCTCCTCCATCATTTCCCAGCTCTTTTTGCTCTCCTTGTGACGTTTCTGGCCTGGGCAAGCCTGCTCATGCACCCACCAGCCAAGCCTGCCTCTTCCAGAGGTGTGCTATCAAGTTCATCTATCACCAAGCAGCTTGGCCTTTCTTTTTATACAGCCTTTCTTTTTATACAGCCATGTGCCGCGGCCAGGCTGGGGCTCCACAGAGCCAGTGCCTGTGATGCTCCCTGGCTCTGCAGCAGACCTGCTCTTCATCCCCACGGGGCTGCACCACACATATTTACCAGAGAAATCCCACTGACGTCACGTGAATTGCAGCTTCTTGGAAGTCAGCTGGGAGTGGTAGCTGCTGGAAATTTTGGTGGTTCCTGATGCAGCATGGATCTGGGGCCACTGGAGACAGCTCCTCATGGTTGTGGCCATTGATGTCCACTGAATGGGCAGACAACTGGGACGCCCTCAGGGGTCCCATGGAGTTTGGCTTTCTGACCAGCTGGGTAGAGTTTAACTGCAGAAAAGAGGCCACCAGCAGGACTGGCACTGAGTGGAGAAACAGCACAGAAGGCAGAGCTCAGGTTTGGAGACATCCCTGCCCCGCTCCTTGGCGATTCACAAGAGGTGTCCTCCACTTGTCCTGAGGTCAAAATGGTCTTCAACCATGAAAGGCTTCAGCCCAAGCAAGGAGGGATGCCTTGGGGAAAGGGAATGGTGATGGAGGCTCTTCTCCATGTGCTGCCAGTCCAGGCCAGCAGATGGAAGTCGCTGGAATTTGCAGGAGCCATTTTGACCCTTTTGCAGAAGCCATTTGAATCACTCTTCATCAGTCTTTGCCTTAGAAATGAGCTGAAGGTGCCAGGTCATGCAACCTGCACGACTGAGCTGCCTCTCGGCACCCTTGGTCATCAGCAAAGGTGTGCAGGACCACGAGGGGAGGCATCAGTGCCATGAGGCACTCCTGACCTCAGAGATGGGAGCTCTGTGGTCTCTTGTGACCAGTAGGTCCCCAGGTGAATGCAGGAGTTCAGTGAGCCGTCTCCTTTCCTACAGCTCGTGTTCCAAGCCAAGGTTGAATTTTGCATCTGAGCTTCCCACTGGCTTCCCTGAAGATGCTTTTGCCTGCTGCGAGCATTAATCGGATCAAAAGGAGGACCAGGCCAGCTCTGCGGCAGCTTGTCCACCGCCACCATGTTGAGTGGCCTTTTTGCATCAGAGCAGCTGGATTTTTCATTCCCAAAGTGCTCCTTGCTGCAGTGCCCAGATCACACGCTGTGGTGGAGCACAGCGCTTTCAGCAGAAAATGGGCTGAGAGCTCCCAGATTTATTTATTTATTGTCCCAGTTTCAAAACAAGGAAGAGGGGGAGTTGCCAGGAAAGTGTAAAATGAAAGTGTGCCAAACCCAGCATTTTTATTCCCCATTCTGTCTTCTCCCAGCCCCAATGCCACCTCCTCTCTTCTCTGGCCACTTTCTCCTATGGCCACTGCCTGGCAGGACCAAAGGAACTGTGTGCCAGCAGCCTGTGCCCCTTTTTCCTGGCAATGCCCTCAGGCTGTGCCCCATCCAGAGCCGCCCTCCACCCTGGAGCTTCATCCCACCCACAGGCTGGGGCCATTCCCTGTCCCCAAACCACTGCCCGGAGAGCGTCCCTTTGAGCAGGACACGAGTGGGAGCAGCCGGGGGTGGGCAGGGGCATCGCAGGCACCCACAGACAGAGGCGGACAGATGGAGGCAGCGAGTGCACACGTGTGTGCACACACTCGCACCGGCCGGGGAGGAGGATGCCCGGGGACCCTTGGCGGAGACGTGACCTACTTTAGCACCGAGGCAAGCCACGTTGTGCGAGTCCCAGAGTAAAAACTTAATAGAGCCGGGCGTAAATTATTCATTGCCTGGCCATGGTAATGCGTGTGCTAAAGGCTTTTTTTTTTTTTTTAACAGTAAAAAAAAAAAATCTCCTCTATAATTTAAAGCTTTGCACGCTCCCATCGCCGGCCCCGACTACTCTCCGGGGTGTTTCCGCTTAGGTGAGCAGAGCTGCGAGATAAAGATGGACCCGGCAGGGGAGAGCTGGCCCGGCAGGAGCCGGGATGCAGGCGGGAGCCGGGATACAGGCAGCAGCCAGC